CCATGCGGGACACACTCTATTGTCCGAGAGCCGAACCTTCTCGCGCAGTGTGGAAAAGTCACGGCCGAAAATGTTTGGCAATGTTCGGCCTCCGAAGGCCCTCGCTGGGCCCCGGGGCTGTCAAGAAACCACTCGGGATGAAAAACTTGTCCTCGGGATGGCGTCCAGACCTCTGGGGTCCACGCGGTCAAAAACAACACGTCGAAGTTCATCCCCCGCCTCGCGCCCCCGCCCGCGAACGCGAACGCTTACGTTTCTGGCACCGCGCGGACCGCTCCATCAAGAACGATCGCAACTTCCCATTCGCGCAGACCGTCCGATACCGGCCGAGGCAATCGCACCGGCTCCGTTCAGTCTTGAGCACCCGCGATGAGGCCGAAGCCGCGGCGACACGACATGCACCTGTCACATCAAAACGCCAACTCTGGTCGGTCCGCGCTGACTATTCGCGGGGTAGGCTCCAGCACGCCCCTCGGCGGCGCCACTGGCGACTCACGCTCCAAGGAGGGGGGGGCCCGCGCTCGTCGTGGGCGCCCTGGGGTGGAAACGGTGTCCGTGGGCATAGTTCCCTCGATCGGGGGGGGGGAAGGGAAGCTTCACGGGGTTCAGGATCCCATTTGCAGGATTTGTTCTGGCCCCGCACTGAAACTCGCAAACAAAAAAACGGATCCTAGTGCATACGATATCCTGGTGTATATTTGTTGCATTGTTGTCCTTGGAAAACGGGGGAAAAAGTGCACACCGCACCGCCACGTCGTCCCCGATCCTCAAAATGTCCTGCGATTGAAAAACAGCCCGCCACTGGTAATGTACGATTATATGTCCCAGTTTCCGACGTGTGGGCCTACGTGCCCCAGACCCCTCGGGCTGGAGACTGCTGCGCTTGCTTGATGGCTTTCCAGGTTCGTCAGCGGCCCCAGGCATCTCGTCGCGGCCTGCGGGGAGAACGCTGTCAGAACTTTCGCCCTGCCTGGTCCTGGCCAGCTGTCCGAGAAAAGGCTTCGGTTCGGGTCGGGCATGTCCTCCTACAGGCGGATTATGGAAGAAGAATGAAACACAGTCATCACGCGCACAAGACAAATCAAAACAGCACGGGAAATCGTCACCAGACTATCTTTTCAAACATTCTTGAATATTCCTCCTGTAGAGGGACATGTCCGACTTAGTCCTAACCGGCTGTCCGAGAAAGAAGCCCACTCGGGCCATGTCCTCCAGGGCAGAAGTGACATCGGGAGAGTTCTGGAGGGGGTGATGATGGCCACGTCGGCCCCGAGAGGTCTCGACCCATTCCCTCGGACCGATTTCTCATCCCGAGCCGTTTCTTGGCGCTCCCGAAGCCTGCCGAAGGCCCCCCGAAGCCAAAAATGGCGACAAACCTCCCGTCATGAGGGGGTCTGGGGGAGAAGGAGGGAGGTTTTTTTTCAGTCAACGTAAGCTCGACCCCCACTGCTGAGGACCTATTAAAAATGGGTGCCCGTGCACCCCTGGAAGCCCCGAAGGTGCGCCGTGCCCCACTGGCTGCCCCTCGAACTCGCTGCGACAGCGCACAGCGAACGCAAAGGCGGGGAACCTCGCCCACCACGAAGAACGGCACAACCCACGGTGGGAGAAGGAGCCCGTGTTCCAGCAGCCCGTGCTCCGCTCCGCTGCCGACCGGAGCCCGTGCTCCAGGAGCCCGTGTTCCGCACGGGGCAGGGGCAGGAGACCGTGCTCCGCCCAGCTGCCCCGCCCCCCCCCCCCCCAGGGGCGGCGAGGGGGGGATGGGGCCTGGGGACCCCGAGCTGGGGGGTGAACCCAGCCGGGGGGGGAGCCCAGGGCGCCAACCCCCGAACGCCCCCCCTAGGGAGGGTGGTTGCCGACCAAGGGCCGGCAACCCAGGGGGATTTTAGTGCCCCGAGGGCCCTGGCGCGCCCCCCCCACGCACAGGTGCCCGCTCCCAGGGCAAGAGGAGGAGGTAGGGAGGGAGAGAGGAGGAGAAGGAGAAGGAGGAGGAGGAGGAGGAGAAGGAGGAGGAGGGGGAGGAGGGGGAGGAGGGGGAGGAGGGGGAGGAGGAGATGGCACCGGCTGGCGCGCGCCCGGATGCTGCACGTAGCGGAACGTCTGCCGCGGGGATGCCACGGCCGACCGGGGCTGCGCCCCTGGGCACGCGCGCGAGGACTGCGACAGAGGCGGGCCGTGCCCCGCGTCGGGGTCCCTCTCCGGGGGCTGCTCCTGCGCCCGCGTGAGGATCTGCGCATACGTGACCTCGCCCGCGGCGGGGCTGGGAGAGGAGGAGGAGGAGGAGGAGAGGAGGAGGAGGAGGAGGAGGGGAGGAGGAGGAGGAGGAGGAGGAGGAGGAGGAGAAGGGGAGGAGGCGGGGAGGAGGAGGAAGGGAGAGGAGGAGGAGGAGGAGGAGGAGGAGGAGGAGGAGAGGAGAGGAGGAGTAGGAGGAGGAGGAGGAGGAGGAGGAGGAGGAGGGAGGAGGAGGAGGAAGGAGAGGAGGAGGAGAGGGAGTAGAGGAGGAGGAGAGGAGAAGGAGAGGAAGAAGAAGGAGGAGGAGGAGGAGGACGACGAGGAGGAGGAGGGGGGGGGGAGAAGGAGGAGAAGGAGGTGGAGGGGAGGAGGAGAGGAGGAGGGAGGAGGAGGAGGATGAGGAGGAAGAGGAGGAGATGAGGAGGAGGAGGAGAAGGAGGTGGAGGGAGGAGGGGAGGAGGAGGAGGAGAGGAGGAGGGGAGGAGGAGGAGGAGGAGGAGGAGGAGGAGGAAAAGAGAGGAGAGGAGGAAGGAGGAGAGGAGGAGGAGGAGGGGAGGAGGAGAAGGAGGAGGAGGAGGCGAAGGAGGTGGAGGGGGAGAAGGAGGGGGACGAGGAGGAGGAGGAGGAGGAGGAGGAGGAGAAGAGGAGGAGGAGGAGGAGGAGGAGGAGGAGGAGGAGAAGGAGGTGGAGGGGGAGAAGGAGGAGAAGGAGGAGAGGAGAAGGGGAGGAGGAGAGGAGGGGGAGGAGGGGAGGAGGGAGGAGGAGGAGGAGGAGGAGGAAGGAGGAGGAGGAGGGGGAGGAGGAGGAGGAGGAGGAGGAGGGGAGGAAGGAGGAGGAGGAGGAGGAGGAGGAGGAGGGAGGAGGAGGAGGAGGGGGAGGGGGAGAAGGAGGGGAACGAGGAGGAGGAGGAGGAGGAGGAGAAGAAGAAGAAAGAGGAGGAGGAGGAGGAGGAGGAGGAGGAGGAGGAGGAGGGGGAGAAGGAGGGGGACGAGGAGGAGGAGAAGGAGGAGAAGGAGGAGGAGGAGGAGGAAGAGGAGGAGAAGGAGGAGGAGGAAGAGGAGGATGATGATGAGGAGGAGGAGGACAAGGAGGGGGAGGAGGAGTGGGACGAGGAGGGGTCGGCGCGAGGGACACCGAGACGGGTGGGGGGGGGCTCGGCGACTCTTTTCCGCTGGGCGCCTTCGCTCGGCTTTTTGGGGCCCTGGGCCCTCCTGCATATCGGTGCGGCTCGAAGAATGCTACAGAAGGATGAGGTCTAGCAGACTGGGGTCGTGCTTTTATTTTGCAATGTTGTGTGTGTTTGCGCAGCGTCGGGTCTTGGGTCGATATCTGGGTATGCTTCTGGCTATGTCCGTGAGTTTTCGGACCCCAGAGTGCGAGTGCGCCTCGTCGAAAGCTTTCCAAGGGTGGCCCAAATCGTCCCGAACGGCCGCCGCAGACCCGATGAGCCGAACCCAGGTATCCGGCGCCTCGAACAGAATCGGGGCGGCCGGTTCGTCGCCATTTTGGCCCCAGGAGGCTGGCTTCGGGGCTTGGATCTTTGGAGAATGTTTCGGCCACCTTCCGCACAGATGCGTTTGGTTCGCAGCGTCGGATCTCTGGAGGGGGTGGGCGGCCTCCCCAACACGAGGGGGGCCCGGGCTTCGCAGACGGGTTCGGATGGCGTCTGCTTTTTGTGGTGGTTGCGCCTTTCGGGGGATGGGAGGGGTTCTGACCTTGGAAAAAAAAACCAGGACGGAAATCTACGTCAATGTTCGGCCCATAGGGGGCCCTCGCCAGGGAGACGCAACGGCTCGGGTACGGGGGATTCGGGTTGGTCTGGCAGGGCCGTGAGGGAAACGACGAGATCGAGTCTGCAATCTGACGCGAGCTCCCTCTGCAAACATCCCGCGGAAACTGGACCGTCAAAATTCGGGCCCGTCAAAAATCGGGGATGGACAAACCTCCCTTTAGTAAAACGTGGTTTAGTGAAAACGACTTCGGGCCCAAACCTGGCGGGCGCAAGCCTGGAAAATAACGGCCACGGCGCCCTCACGAAAACCGAAAACGGACAATTCACTAATCGACGTGTCACTGTTGGGGTTTCTGTCCACCCCCGAAAAAAAGCTAGCTTCGGCAACTTCGAGCTCCGGCAAGCCCGAGTCTTACAATCGGCCCTGGAACAGAAGAGCATCTCTCAAGGACACGGGACCCTCCGCCGGCCAAAACACACAGAACATCCAAGGGAACCCTCCACAGGATGCTCAAGACTCTCGAAACCATCCAGCAAACATCTTACATCTGGGTACGACTGGTACCCAGACACGCGACGTCCTGTGATTTTTGTACCCAGACACGCGACGTCCTGTGATTTTTGTCAATGCAGGGCCCCTGGAAGTCCCGACCCTTTCCCTGGGACCAGCTTGTCATCCTGAGTCGTTTTTAGACGGTCCCGAGGCCCGGCGAGGCCCCCCAGGGGTCGAAACTGGCCAAAAAACTCCGCGTCCTGAGTTTTGGCACGACGCGGTCATGCCCGGGTCCCCGAGCCGACCTCGATGTGACGCCTCGGTCCGACTGCTACGATCCCCCGATTCTGCGCACCGCCGACCCTGGCGGCCGTCGACTGCGAGACCCCGCTGAGCACGGGCGGCCCGCTGGTCATGCGCTCCTCGTGGACAAGGAGCACGAATCAAGATGAGGTCGGGCATGTCTTCATACAAGGGGGTGTTACGAACAAAACAAACGAAAAGTAAAGAAATAATGGAAAACATTCCAGAATAGTCGAACAATGGCCCCCTGACTATTTCTCGACTACTTTTGCGCACTCCTCCTGTGGAGGAACAACCCCGACTTAACACGAAGTAAGACGAAGCCAGGATAAGGATAACGTCGGGCGAGGATAAATCGAGACTCTCTGAGATCTGGCGGCTCTGGAGGATGTCTCGGGCGCCGCGGCCTTCTCATGCTCTGGGAGCGCTCCGGACCGCTCTGCCACGAATGCATCCTCGTTCTAGCCCCGTCCGAGCATGGGCCGCGGCCCCATTCTTCGAGCGCGGAACGTATCCGTGCGACCGCGAATCCATGGGACGTCGAGGGCGCGGATACGGATACCCAGAGATCCGACGTTTGTGACGCTGTCAATGTGGAGTCCCTGAAAGACACGACCCGCTCCACAGGACCAACTTTTGAGTCTGAGTGTTGTGTTGACGGTCCCGGGGCTCGACGATGGCTTCTATAGAGGCTGCAAACGGCGAGAAACGGTTCTGCTGTTTTCCCTACGTCGGAGGTCAGGGGTTCTGTTCGCCGCTCGCAAGCTCCACGGCCACGAACTGGGACGACCCCAGGAACGAAGGCCGGTGCTGCCGCGGGCTGTACAGCGGCGGCGCGCGCACCTCGCGCGGCGTCATTACCGGCGAGGTTACGCAAGAGCCCGCCGCCAGCGACGTCATGTACGCCCGCGCCCGCGCCTTTGGGCGTTGCTTACAGGGGGGGCGATGGATCGGAGAGCACAAATAACGCGCACCTCTCGTGGCCCTTTGGGGCCCCAGAGATGAGCGTTTTGTTATTGGGCGTTTCGACATTGGCGGAAGGGGGGGTGGGGGGGTCTGGCTCTGGATCTTTGCTTTTCTGCTTAGTGCGACTGCTTGCAACAGTTCGTCCTATGGGGGAGACTCCACCTGCTCGAAATAGGCGGCTAAAACAGCCAAGATCTACTCCGGGGAGGGGGGGGGGGCAGGAGGGCCTGCGCCGATCGGCAAAACAAGGAATAAGAAAACGATCACAAAGGCCCCCAAGGTGCTTGAGAGGGTGCACTGTTTCCAGACCCCCGACGTCGTGCTGTCTTCATAACGCCGACCCCCAGAAGACTCCACCCATTCCACGGGGCCGGCTCCTCATCCTGAGTCGCTTTTGGACAGTCCCGAGGCCCAGCGAGGGTCCCTGCAGAGGCCGAGAAGGGTGAAAAAAACCGTGCGTCGTGATGTTCTCATTCCTCGATTGGGGGTCTGGGACCGTTGTTCGCCTTCCCGGTGCTCGCTCCCCCCCCCCCCACCTCCTCCTCCTCCTCCTCCTCCTCCTCCTCCTCCATCTTGCCACACTCCCCTTGCGTAGTTCCCGACCCGTCCAGGGCTCTGTGTTTCAGGAGTCCAGATTCTCGGGTATAGGTTTAGCTGTATGTTCAGGAGTCCAGATTCTCGGGTATAGGTTTAGCTTTATGTTTCACTCCCAGGCCCAGGGTTGTGTGTGCCCAGAAGCCGCGCATCGATAGCGGATGGGCCGGCACGCCCGGAATGTAGCAGCAGTTGTGCACTGCAACCGTTGTGGCTCAAGCCGAAAACATATGTTTCCTCTCCTGCTGCCACATTTGGGCCCTCATACATGGACTCCGCATGTTGGAGTTTTGACCCCGTTGCCAGTCTGGGCCATAGACATGCTGGGGCTGTGGCCCCTCATGCGTGGCCGGCTGGAGTGTTGACTCCACGTAGGTTGCCATGCCCATGCTGGGACCGTGGCCCCTCATGTCTGCCATAGTCCTGTTGGGGCTGTGGCCCCTCATGCATTGCCAAACTCATTTTTGGAGGGCGCCAAGCGACGCGCGCCAAGGCTCGAAGCCCAAATTCTGGTGGCTGCACCTCTAATGTCCAGCCACATGGGGACCTTCCACCCCGAAGGAATGGTATCGTCTTAGAGTCCTCCTCCTCCTCCTCCTCCCCTCCCCCTCCCCCTCCTCCTCCTGCTGCTCCTCCTCCTCCTCCTCCTGCTCCTCCTCCTCCTTCTCCTCCTCCCCCTCCTCCTCCCCCCTCCTCCTCCTCCTCCTCTCCTGCATCCTCCCCTCCTTCTTCCCTCCCCCCTCCCCCCCTCCTCCTCCCCCTCCCCCTTCCCCCTCCTCCTCCTCCCCCTCCTCCTTCTCCTCCTCCTCTCCTCCTCCCTCCTCCCCCCTCCTCCTCCCCTCCTCCTCCTCCTCTCCTTCCTCCTCCTCCTCCTCGTCCTCCTCGTCCCCATCTCCTTTTCATGTTTCTTTCCTTTCCTCCTCCGCCTCCTCGTCTCATACGCCTCCTCCTCCTCCTCCTCTCCTCCTCCTCCTCCTCCTCCTCCTCCTCCTCCTCCTCCTCCTCCTCCTCCTCCTCCCCGTTCGCAGCGCAGCGCCCGGCGCCTGCGACCCGCTGCCCACGCCGGCAACCGAGCCGCGGGCGTGCGGGGCGGCTGTGGACCTCTCCGGCGGCGGGCTCACGTCCTCGGAGGGCGCAGCGAGCTCCAGAGATCCAAAACGCGGCTGGGGAAGCAGGACGGACGCCCAGCCCAGGTCCGTCAAAACACCAGGAAGAAATCTGGCGCCCCGGTGGATGGGCCGACGGTCTATATATCTATATATATATATATATAGATATGAGTGTGTATGTGTGACTGTAGAGTTGTGTGGGTATATGCATGCATACATGTATACACATATTCATGCACGCATACGTACATACAAACAACCATGTACACATACATACATGCATGCACACATACATACAAACAAACAGCCATGCATGCATACATACATACATATTTACATACACACATACACACAAACATACATAGCTACATACATGCGTACATACATGCATACATACATACGTACAAACATACCCACAGGCATACACTCATGCGTGCATGCATAAATACCTGTCTGCATGCAGACACCCATACATGCATGCATACATACACATATCCATACTTACAGCCATACATACACACATACCTACCTAACTCCATACATGCATACATACATATACGCATGCATGAACACATACGTATATACATACATACCGACATACCTGTCTACCGAGCGACCTACCTACGTGCATGCATGCATGCATAACATACATACATACACATACGTGCATACCTATATACCTGCATGCATGCATGCTTGCGTACATACACATACTCGCACACATGCAGTAGTACACACATACGTACACACAACCATACATACACACCTGCATGCACACATACATACGCACTTACACGCACCCACATACATCAATACATAAATACACACATACATTCCCGCCATACATACACGCATGAATGCAAGCATGCATGCTGACATACAAGCATAGATCATGACGTATAGACATTCACACGTACATGCATACATGCATCCATACAGTCATACGTGGCTGTATCCTGGCATACATACATACATGCATATGTACATACTTACAGGCATATCTGCACATACATACATATATACACATACATGCATGCGCACATGCGTACATACACACATGCATGCATGCAACCATACGCACATATATTGCATACATGTATACATACGTACACACACATACAGACATACATACATACATGCATGCATACATACATACATACATACACACATACACACATACGATATGCCTACACACATACACTCATACACACATCTATACAACTACACAAAGACCTCGCGCGCTTCGCATGCGATAGGGTCCTACGTGCGTTGGAGCCCAGCCTTGCAACGACGCGCAGACGCGCGCGCGCACGTGCAGCGGCAGGAATTACCCACAAATGGTTTGCACATGGGGTGGATGAGCGTTGCGAGCGCGGACCGAGCAGAGACGCTCACCGACAGGGCATTCGGAGACGGCCCCAAGCGCGCCCCAAGGGGGGCCAGGAGAAGTCCCAAAGGCAGTCCAAAGGGATCCCAGAAGCACCCCGGAAGGGGCTCCAAGGACACCCACGACGCTTCAAGAGGGCCCCCAAAAACAAGCTCCAGGACGGAGCGCAGGAGGGCCCCAACACAGGCGTACCGAGAGAAGTCGAAGACGGCGCCGACGTGGCTTGATGCCAAGGAAGTGCCCCCAGGAAAAACAACAACGCACAGGATATAAAGGGCTCCGAGGCGAGGCGAAGGCCCGAGACGGCCCCAAGCAGGGCCCCAGCAAAACGCCGAAGAGGGCCTAGGAAAAGCTCCAAGAGTGGCGTCAAAATGGCTCCAGTAACTGCTCCGAGAAGGATCCCGCGGGGCCCGACAAGAGCGTCAGGACGGACCCCAGAGAAGGTCCACGGAGTCCACGGCCCGAAGAGGGCGCCCACATGTGTTTTCGAGAGTGGCCCCAGAGCGCTGCAAGGAGAGCGGCTTCAAGAAGAGCGCTTCAAGAAGGGCGGCTTCAATATGCTTTCAACACGAGCTTCAGTATGGTCCAAGGTTGCGTAAGGATCGCCGCGCGGACGCGGGTGGCGGCGCCCGCCGCGGGGCCCGCGTGGTGCGCGGGCGCACGAGGCGGCAAGCTCGCACCGAAGCGGCCGCGGCGACGCGGAGGCAGCGTTGGCACCGCGACGATGACGGCGACGAGGGGCCCTGTGAATGCGCTTCCCCTCTGAGAGAGCGGCTTCCACATAAAACAGGCATACCCGTAGATACGGACTTGCATTCGTGCTAACGTATGTACTTGCGTGTGCGCAAACTTGCATGTGAACAGACATGCAGCATGGAGACCAACTGCGTGCACATTAATATACACGTAAGGTTTCACACGTAAAGGCATAGAACAACACCATCTGTGCTTGGGTGCTCAGACAGGGGCGTGTTAAATGCCTCTCGGGGCTTCGCGGAGTCATTGCCAAGGATCGCTTGGACGCCTTTTTTCTGCGCCCCTTGGGGGACCCTGGGCGACTCGTTGGGCTGTTTCGGGGGGTTCTGGGAGCTTCTCGGGAGCGTCTCGGGGGCCCCCGGGAACGTACTTTGGGGCGCGTTGGGGGCTGCGCCCCACCAAGAGAGTCCGCCAACGTCCTGGGCACC